GGTCGAGTCATGGTCGGGGCCGATACGGGGACCCTTCGGATAGGATCCGAGCGACCCGAGATGGAACGATTCATGAGGATCGTTACATTTACTAGAGCAGTTGTTATAAGTTTAAAGAGATGAGAACAGCTAAAAGCAGTCTAACTAGGTAACTAGAAGTAGAGAACAACTATTTAAAGCATTAATAATAAAAGATAAGCTATTCTACCTTTTATTATTTTTTAAAGTAGTAATTACTTTTTAAACTAGTATAAAGAAAAAAAATCTACTCTAAGATTAAGTTATTATAGTCTTAAAGTGTAGCTAGACTACTAATAAGCTTAGTCTCGACTAGTTAAAGCACTTTAACGTGTATATAAAGAAGTGTACTATTAGCAGCTACTATCTACTAGTTATTAACAGCTATAAAACTATAACTTACTTTATTTCTAGTAATACTATAAGAATAATAAGATTATGAATATTTGTATACTTTTTTACGTATTACACCTTTTTTAGCTACTTAATATAGGTTATTTTACATTTTTAAAAAAGGTGTATAAGTGCTAAGCTAAAAACCTTATACATAACTAAATTACGTATATTATAAAAAGAAAGTTAGTTCTTACTATGCTTTAAAGTAGGTTATAATACTATAATTACTTTTAGTAATATCTAAGAAGAGTTTTAAGGCGCTAGATGAGTTTCTTTTACCTTAAAATAAGTTATAATAGGCTTTAATAAAAAGTTGCGCACTTTAATACTACTACTCTTTATACATAATAAGCTCTAGCGTACACTACAAGCAAGTTGCTTACACGCCTAAGTTACTTACTTTTGCTAAGACTTTAATAAACTACTCTTTTTACACTAATGTATTTCTAACAACACTACTTAGATGTTCTAAAAGAAGATTAAATATACATTATACTTTAGGCTTTTAAATAAAACATAACACTTTTATAGTAAAAAATAAAAAATAACTAATATACTAAATAACTTTATAAGCTAATTTTATAGCTAACTTATAAAAGCTAAATAATAATAAAAAATAAGTAATTATTAAGCATACACTTAAGCTATATATATAAGAATTTTTCTTTTAGCTAGTAACTATGGCTAATATAGCTAATTCTTTACACACTAAGTTTAATCTAGGCTATATTAGTATAAACTAGCCTAGTGTGTTTATAAAGTGTTATTTAAAGGTTAGAGTAAAATTTAAGTGTAAGTATAACTGTAAAAAAGCTTTTTATAAATTTCTTAAAGTAATTTAAAGCTAGTGTAGCTTTATAAAGAATATAAAAGCTAAGTATAGCATTTAAAATCATAATATATATAAATTTAATAAAATAGGCTTTATAATTAGCTAAATATTTACTAACTATACTTATACTTAAAACTTTACTATAAGCTTTAAAGAACACTTTATAAATATACTAAGCTAGTTTATGCTAATATAGTCTAAATTATACTTAGCGTGTAAAGAAATAGCTATATTAGCTATATCTAGTAGCTAAAAGGAAAATCCTTGCGCATATAGCTTAAGTATAACGTACCTAACAGGTTGGCCGGCCACTTTTGCCAAGCCCCTACTAAAACCACCCTATTCTAGCGCAAAATAGCCTACTTTAGCCCTATATTAAGTAATACAACATAAGATATTATTTAAAGTCTACTTCTACTACTTTCTTACACATATGTAAGTTATGCCTAGTCTAATTACACTGCTTATATTACCTTTAACTTAGCTTACTTTTTTTAGTGTGTACTTATGTTTTTGGCTTCTTTCTATTACTACGCGCTTTAAACTCTTTTAAAGTAGTTAAATAAGCTTTATTTTTAACTATTAAAGTCTTTTTTACTTAAATCTACTTTTTTTTTATGTAATCTATGTTAGATAGCAGCCTTATTTACTGCTTAAAGCTTTATAATCTTCTTTTACACTAACACTAGCTTATGCATAATAATTACTACCCTTTTTAAGACTTTTTTAAAAGCCTTTACTATAAATGTTAGTAAGCTATTTACATGCCTTTAAATTTTTACTTTTATACGCATTAATTATAACCTAAATTTAAGAGTATTACTTAAGGTTTATAACTACTAAAGCTTATTATTAATAAGTAGTAGTAGTAATAAAGTATATAACTAGATATTAAAGGCTATTTTAACTTATTTTAGGTTAAATAAGACTAAACTAGCGCCTTAAAACTTTTTTAAATATTACTAAAAGTAATTACTATATTATAGATGAGTATAAAGCATAGTAAAAACTTAAGTTTTATAATATAAGTAATCTAGTTACATATAAGACTTTTAGCTTAGCACTTATACACTTTTTTTAAAAAAGTAAAATAACCTATATTAAAAGGCTTTAAGAGGTGTAATAAGTGTAAAAGCATATAAATAGTAATAATTTTTTTTTTTTTATAATACTACTAGAAATTAAGTAAGTTATAGCTTTTATAGCTATTAATAATAAAAAGCTAATAAATACTTATAACTTTTTTTTATATGCTTATTAAAGTGCTTTAACTACTACAGCTTAAGCTTATTTATTATCTAGCTATTTTTAGAGACTATAATAACCTAGTTTTAAAGTAAATTTTTTTCTTATACTAGGCAAAAAAGTAATAGCAGCTTTTAAAAATAATAAAAAGTAAAATAGCTTACTTTATTATGTTAATGCTTTAAATAACTATTATCTACTTTTTATAACGTTACTATATTACCTTTAGCTATTTTTATTTCTTTAAAGCTATAATAACTACTTTAGTTAATATTTAGCTTATTATAAAGCTTAACTTATTAAAGTTATATGTGTCTTTATTCTAAATACTATACTTAGCTTTTATGTTAGCTACTAGGTAAAACTAGCTCTAAATAACCTCTAAATTCTTATAAAGCACTTTTTTATAATTATACTTATAATTAAACTTTATTATAAACTTAAAGCAGTGCTTAACTTACATACTAGGCTAGTTTAAGCTAACCTAGCCTAGATTACACTCTGCGCGTAAGGAATTAGCTATATTAGCTATAGCTATAAGCTTAAAAGGAAATCTATGTATAATAAGCTTAAGTATATACTTAATAACTACCTTTTTTTAAGCTTAGTTAAATTCTTTAATTTAAGCTAGCATTTTACTTATAAAGGCTATCTAGTGTGTTAATTACTTAGTATTATGTAAAAAACATTATAAATAGCTATAGCATGTTATAAAAAAAGTTTTAAGTTTTATTTAAAAGCTTAAAAAGTAACCTGTATCTAATGTTTTTTAGAAAATTTAATCTAGTGTTGTTGTTAAGGCATTATGTAAATAGGTAGAGTGTAGTAGAGGCTTAGCAAAAGTAGCTAGCTGTTAGATTGAAGCACTGTTTCTAGGCTTCCTGAGATGAATGATGGGTTTTGATATGATGTATGGGATGATGATTGATTGTCTTGATTGTGTTGATTTATCGATCCTTTTTCTGCTCTACTCGTGTTGCTCGGCTTTTTGTTTTGCCGATCTGAGTCCCTCGCGCACTTGCCCTATGCGCGACCAGCTTGCAACATGCTGCAATTTGCTGCAATTTGCTGCAACATACTGTTCGAGCTTATTGCTCGTACTATGTAGCAGCTTTCGTCAAGCGTTCCTCCTGTCTTGACAGTAGGTGCGCATATCTGACACTAGCTAACCTGTGTAGCCGGCCAACCTGTTAGGTACGTTATACATAATAATTACATACTTTTTATTATTGTTTAGCTTATAAAAGTTATTTAGTATGTTAGTTATTTATTATTTTTTTTAAAAGGCTTTATATATAGCTATAGCATATTACTTTAAAAGTGTTACATCTTATTTAAAATCTTAAAGTGTAAGCTATATTCAACATTTTTTTAGCACATTTAAGTAGTGTTATTAGGAATGCATTAGTGTAAAAAGAGTAGTCTAGTAGGGTCTTAGTAAGAGTAAGCAACTTAGGTGTGCGAGCAACTCGCCTGTGGTGTACGTAAGTGGAGTTGGAGTTATGTTGAAATTTTGGATTTTCTAAAGCGAGTGTGCGCCAGGTGAAACCGTGCGTCAAATGCCAAGCTACGGTACCTATGGTCAAAGGCATCGTCGTCTTTTCACTCAACACCTGACGTGACACCTCTCCCCAACTCCCCACAACCGAATCCGCTGCCTTCCTCACGACCGCACTCTTCCACTTTTTTTTTATCTATAAGCTGTCTTACTTTTCAGATTGAGTCCCACGTCGAAGAACACACTATGACCATCGAGATTACCTCCGATGCCGACCTGCCGAAGTGTTTAAACACGCCATCGAAGCAGGCTTCAAAGGCGCGGCAACTGGCCCACATGCACTCCGGTATCCTCGCCAAGAAGGCTCGAGGACCTCGACCCCAAGGCTTTTTCAGTAGGACGATGATCGTAACGCTGCAGAATGGCGAAGACGTCGTCATCCAGTTCCGGCCAGAACCCCTTGACCTGGAGTCCTTCCAGGTTGCCCGGAGAGCACTTGGCGCAATAGTCCCTAACATCAAAGTTATGGAGGACGAAGACCTGGAATGCGAGGGCATATGGGTTTACTGGATGGAGTGTATTCCTGGGAAGACATGGCTTGATGGCGCAAGAGGGAGAGTCTCGCAAACCAGGGTCACCACCGTCCGATCTTTGGGTCGCATTTTGTCAAAAGGCTATGTCGGCAATACTAGTGCATTGGTGGTTGACCGCAACCTTCGCCCGCATCTTGAGTTACTCTTAGCCTCCGAGGACCCCCAGATCCGTCTATTCCACGCCGTGGCGAGAGATTTACTCGGCAAATTGGACCAGCTTAAGAGTCTACCACTTTTTGTCGCTCACTTTGACCTAAACAATGTCAACATCATGGTTAACGATAACTGCGAGGTGTCTGGCATCATCGACTGGGAATTATCGACCCCTCTTCCCTTTGGCATGGGCTTTGGCCGCATCCACACACTTGCTGGCGAGTTTTCCGAGAAGAAATTCTACATGCCGCCTGAGTTTGAAGATGCAGAGAGGGGGTTCTGGCAGGAGGTTTGGGATGGGATCCCTGAGTATGTCCGCAGCCATGCCGACCCGGAAGCAGTCCAGATCGCTGTCACTCTAGGGACTCTTCTGAATGCCTTTCAGATAGAGGAAGGCAAAATCGGACCCTTTAACCCCGTAGTCATTGATGCTATCCCAAAGCTTCTTACCTACCGTATTCCCTTGATAAGGGGAACTGATTCACCACCATATTCAGAATGAGTGAGAATGGACGGTTTGAGTTGCGGTTGCCAATGTTGTAAAATAGTTAGACGGATAACTTAGACCAGAAATGCAATGGTAAGCGGTATGAAGTAGGCTCAGGCGGCTTCAACTTTCACGGTTTTCAACTGTGGCTCCAAGGAAATCGCCCAACCTTTATTTCTGTGCGTCGCATGGCGACATCACAACAACATAACTTTGCCCAGAGGCTTGTTTCTTGCTTCAAAGCTTCTTCCAAAGGTGCAATTTTCTAAATACCAAAGGTTTATCGTATCTTTACTCAGCGTTCCGTACACTTCATTTTCATCTGCGATTCAAAGTTCTTCCTACTTAATTTCTTTCGCCCCTCAACCTCTCCCTGTGATGGGCTGCGCAAAGATGCTGATGCCTGTTAACTGAGATTGTATTCGAGTAGAGAGCTAACTATAGGGTAGATAGGACTTATATGCTACTTGGAGGTACTTCCCAGCCGTGACAGCCAAGCTGGCACAATGCCTGCCTGGGTGATATCACGTGATGACTGAAGGTTCCACTGAAGGGGCAATCGAGGTCTACATCTCCCAAAAAATAAGGTCGTCAAAAGAGGAGATTTCTGGCAGGGCACGGATGCGTGCGCTTACGAACAAAATCGAAGCCAGTGATTGTAATCAGCTCCGCTTGTACTGCGCTCCGCAATCATTGAATTGCCTTTTTCAATCCGATCTCACCAGTGTGTGTCGTATCTGAGTTTTCCACCCTGTCCTGCAAAATTGGCTCTATTATTAATTCTACCGTAATAGTCGAAACATTTCTAGATCCCTTAAAACGATCCTATCCAATAATAAGCTGGCATCACAGGTTTGCCGTGTCTATTTAGGAGAGCTCTTTCTATACTCGGGCTTAGCATTATCGTAAAACTTAACTAATCTCTTTATTAAACATGTTACGCTCCTTGATGTATTCCAGTGTAATAAAGAAAACTAGATCTAATATATCTCTTACGGCTGTAGGGAAGCCTTCGCGGTGCTTCTTCTCGCTTTCCTTCTAAGTGTCACGGGATGCAGCAAGCAGGACACAACCAGCTCACGAAGGAATGATGATAAGTGCCCGCTCAGTATCAAGTGATAGATTCGAGACATTGCGTGCCGATAGAATATATACACGGTTCAGCTAGTTCAGGGGCTGCAGCACGTGCACTGCCTGTGCACAGCTAATGTGGCACGGAACCAGCGCATGTGCGAATTGGGTACAAGTGCCATGAGATGGTTACCGTGACACTAAGACTAGAACAACTTGATATTAACATAGTAGACTTAGACCCAGACATAAAGCGTAGTTTTCTGTAGTTCCTCTCTAGATGTTGATGCGTAAACCGACTAGATTACTTTTACAAATACCTTTCTTCTACACCTAGCAAAGCCCTTAGTTGTAATGAGGTAGGCGCCCTGCCTGCCAAGTCGATACTACACGACTTTCCCTACTGTACTAAAAGGTACGCACGAGAATGCTTAAGCTAACTATTCTCGCATAGTATAATATATATATATATATATATAGATAATGATAGAGCCAGCACTAGGACTAGCGGTTGTCTCTAGTCTAGCCTAAACCTCTAAGCGAGAGAAGGCCACGTGGTTGACTGTGCCTACCTTATTACCTTAGTCTATTCTTTCTTTAACTTCTTTGCTAGTTGCTGCGTCTAAGTTCTATACTACTATTCCTACATTTTTGTTTATAGAGCTAATCTAATAGAGTTTTAGATGGTGTAGATGGTTTGTTTAGTAATGTCTTTTTTTCTTACATCTTAGACATGCTTTTTTCTTAACCCTTTTTTTTTCTTAGTCTATTTTTGCTTAGGTTTATTTTTATTTGTTTATTACTTTTTACCTTGCTTATGTAATAGCGTAGGCAAGACAATAGATCTAAATGCGGTGTGAATCTACTTAGAGGCATATAGAAGTGCTGGGGACTTAGAAACCTCGGAATTCTATTAACACCTATAGGTCTTGTATAAAAGACTATTAGGAAACTGCTAAGGTAGCTAAGCAAAAAGCTGTAGCTAAATACTTAAAAATAGAGAAGCGTAGAGGCTAGAGTAGAGTTAGAGAAGATATATAGAATCTTTAAATGCAAGCTTGTTAAGTGTTACGTTACTTACTACGTGAGTTCGTCACGTGATACTAGGCCGAGGAGTGTAAGGTAGGCGAGAAGAAAGGATGTCGTGGCGGAAGCAGGTGTACAGTCCGTTCAGGCCACGCGGGTGTCTGCGTGTTAGTCACGTATTTGCCTTGTCCATTAGTATAAGAGGATTAGTGAGGGTAACCCTTTGTGTAAGAGAGTAACAAGATATTAATTGTACAGCGCTGTTGTAAGCTACTAGACTATTTGTATGAAGATTGACAACGACCTTTAGAAGATGACCATTAGCAAGTATATATACATAGAGTGCATCGCAGGTGTCGCAGGTCCTGCGTATGAACCGCAGCGACTCCTACAACCATTCCGTCTTGGCTGCGATACTGCTGACATCATGTGATCCGTCACGTGACATTGTCAGCCTATTCCTGCATCTATCTTGTACGTCTTCTAATTGTTAGAGTCTAGCCGTGCGTTCGTTTACAAGCTCTAATAGAATTGTAACATTAAGTAACTTTAAATAAAATTATTTATATAAATTATTACACAACATTTTTAATAAGCTAATAGTTTTTATTTAGAGTATTTAAAGTAGTATTTAAGAGTAATTTAAATAAGAAATGATTAATAAAAGACTTAATAAAAATTTATTTATTAGTAAAAAAACAAACTAGAATCTAATATCTATAGAATAATTTAATAATATTCTTATAATGTTTATGTTTACTAGTAAATAGAAGTATAATTATTTATTAATCTAGTAAATTTATTATTTATAGCAACTAGTGTTTCCTTACCTTACTTATATAGTTAGAATAATGTTGTTAGGCTTCTCTTTAGCAATTATTAATCTTCGCTACGTAGGTATTCTTACGTACCTAAATTCTATAGCTTAGTCCGCTAATAGAATATAGCATTAACCAACCGCGCGTAACGATCACTAGTTAGGCTAGAGGGACATTCCGAGTCTCTAATTCTACAGAAGAAGAAAGAACTAATTCTAGTAGAGCACAGCCTACAGGGATCACGTGACAATCTATATTAGGTATAGTGTAATCGCATCTAATTACTGCCTAAGACTTGTAATTAATGTAGTTGTAGGTAGGTATATAGTCTTACTCTTCTTCTACTATTTAAAAGGTTGTAGTTATTCTTATCTTCAAAGCATAGCCTTAGATATAGCAATGTATCTAATTTTTTTTTTCTAATATAAAGTGTGTAGAAAACTTTTTTTTATTTAAAAGAAACTAAAGCTACTTAGTTGTTTTACTTTCTCTACCTCTTTTTACTATTTACTAACCTTCTCTCTTACTATACTTCTCGCTAGATTATATAGAGGACTGTACACTCTTCTTACACTATTATATATTTAAGAAGTATTATGTATCTTCTTTTACTTTACCTTTTACTTTTTACCTTTTCTTTTCTCTATGTGACGGCGCGTACCGCGTTACATGCTCTGCGGCTCTTGCGAAACGAGTAGCGCCTTGGCAGGGGGCACACATGTATATCTTAAACTCGTAGAGTAGCTCCTCTGCTCCTTAGTTTAATCTAGTTAGGTTACACCACCTCTTGCTTGTAGCTTGAGCATGCTGATTGTGACACTCTAAGACCTTTTATTACTGTTAAAAAAACACCTAGTAATAGAAAAGTTAAAGTAAGATATGTTAGGTATACTAAAAGCCTTAGCTAGGGCTTTAAGCCTAGTCTGCGGCTCGGGATCTAGAGAAAGTTTGTTCTAAAGCTTAGTGTATATAAGAAGAGCCTTTAACTCTTTTAGATATTAGAGCTACTTTATCTAATCTTTTTAACAGCTTGTTAGATATGCGCACCTACTGTCAAGACAGGAGGAACGCTGGACGAAAGCTGCTACATAGTACGAGCAATAAGCTCGAACAGTATGTTGCTGCAAATTGCTGCATGTTGCAGCATTTTGCAATATTTTGCAACAAATTGCAGCATGTTGCAAGCTGGTCGCGCATAGGGCTAGTGCGCGAGGGACTCGGACCGGAAAAACAAAGCCGAGCAACACGAGCAGAGCGGACAAAAAAAAATATCGATAAATCAATACAATCAATCATCATCCTATACATCATATCCAAAACCCATCATTCATCTTAGGAAGCCTAGAAACAGTGCTTCAATCTGACACAGCTATTGCTAAGCTATTTTATCCTCTACAGGTATAAGCCTAGTGCTTTTAACCTCTAGAATAATTCTTTTTATATAACTTGTAATAAGGAAGGCGCCCCGCCTGCCAAGCCGATACTATACAACTTTCCCTACTGTACTAAAAGGTACGCACGAGAATGCTTAAGCTAAGTATTCTCGCATAGTATAATATATATATAGGTAATGCTAGGGTAAGCACTAGCACTAGCGGTTGTCTCTAGCCTAGCCTAAACCTCTATAAGCGAGAGAAGGCTCTGTGGTTAACTGTGCCAACCTTGTTACATAATTATAGCGCTAGTAACAGCTACTTAAAAGCTTAAATTTTTTTCTTGCTTATTTTTATTACCTTTAACACTTATGTTATAGCTAATTAAGAAGCTTCTCTTTTAACAAAAGTGTACTAGCTTAAGAACTACACAAGCTAGCCTCTTTAGTTTATTTAGCTCTAGTTCTATGCTCTTAGTAAGAACCTATAGAACCTTATAAATCTAGATAGTCTAGACGCTCTAAATCCTATAAACTGCGCTTTAGAAATGCCTACACCTAGAGTAATTACTACTAAGAACCTCTTAGCGAAGGCTAACATGCGGTACTAGATATATTTACTAAGTAACATACTTCACAGGCAAGTTGCTTACACACCTAAGTTACTTACTTTTGCTAAGACCCTACTAAACTACTTTTCCTACACTAATGCATTTCTAATAACACTATTTAGACATACTAAAAGAACATTAGATATAGCTTACACTTTAAGCTTTTAAATAAAATATAAAACTTTTAAAGAAACATGCTACAGCTATGTATAAAGTCTTTTAAAAAATAATAAATAACTATAGCACTAGATAACCTTTATAAGCTAATTCTATAGCTAACTTATAAAGGCTAGGTAATAATAAGAAGTAGGTAACTATTAAGACTATACTTAAGCTATATATATAAGAATTTTTCTTTTAGATAGCATTTATAGCTAATATAGCTAATTCTTTATATGCTAAGCATAATCTAGGCTATACTAGTATAAACTAGCCTAGTATATTTATAAAGCATTTTTTAAAGCTTAAAGTAAAGTTTTAAGCGTAAGTATAGTTAATAAATATTTAGCTTATAATAAACCTTATTTTACTAAAGTTATATATATTATTATTTTAAATGCTATACTTAGCTTTAATATTCTTTATAAGGCTAAACTTACTTTAAATTACTTTAGAACTGTTATAAAAAGCTTTTTTATAGTTATACTACACTTAAATATTACTTTAAGCTTTAAATAACACTTCTTAAACATACTAAGCTAGTTTATACTAATATAGCCTACATTACACTTAGTGTGTAAAGAATTAGCTATATTAGCTATAAATGCTATTTGAAAGGAAAATCCTTTATATATAGCTTAAGTATAGTCTTAATAATTACCTACTTCTTATTATTACTTAGCCTTTATAAGTTAGCTATAAAATTAGCTTATAAAAGTTATTTAGTGCTATAGTTATTTATTATTCTTTAAAAAACTTTATATATAGCTACAGCATGTTTCTTTAAAAGTTTTATGTTTTATTTAAAAGCTTAAAGCATAAGCTATATCTGTTAGATTTAAGCACTGTTTCTAGGCTTCCTAAGATGAATGATGGGTTTGGATATGATGTATGGGATGATGATTGATTGTCTTGGTTTATCGATCCTTTTTCTGCTCTACTCGTGTTGCTCGGCTTTTGTTTTTTCCGATCCGAGTCCCTCGCGCACTTGCCCTATGCGCGACCAGCTTGCAACATGCTGCAATTTGCTGCAACATGCTGCAAAATGCTGCAAAATGCTGCAAAATGCTGCAATTTGCAGCAACATACTGTTCGAGCTTATTGCTCGTACTATGTAGCAGCTTTCGTCAAGCGTTCCTCCTGTCTTGACAGTAGGTGCGCATATCTAACAATATCTAACATTCTTTTAGCGTGTTTAAGTAGTGTTGTTAGAAATGCATTAGTGTAAAAAAAGTAGTTTAGTAAGGTCTTAGCAAAAGTAAGTAACTTAGGTGTGTAAGCAACTTGCCTGTAAAGTACGTTATAAAGCTTGCTTAAATAACTAGGCCTTCTGCTTAACACAACTTTAGAAAATCTAAAACTAGGTTAACATAACTAATACACTAGAGGTTTTTAAACTTATAATAATGTAGCTTATATTAAGAAATTAATTAACTTTAGAAGCACTAGTCTAAGCTTGAAAATAAAAGCTAGCACTAGTAAACATAAATATAAAAAATCTTATATAAGCAAAGTATAAAGCTTACTTTACTAAGGTAAAGTATAGCACTATAACTTTAAAAGCTTAATACTAGTAGTAGCATTTCTTATATACTAAAGTAAGAACTAATAAAAATTTTAATAGAAAAGGCTAGCTAGCTGTGTAAGACTCTCTAAACGCTCTAGCTCTAAAGCTTACACTAGACTAGGCGCGCTCTATGCACTAGAGGGTTATCAAGGCTAGCGCACTTAGTAAGAAACTCTTAATAATATAAAAAATTACTAAAATCTTTGTAATAATTTATTAAAAACACTTTTTACATGTAAGCAACTAAAGTATAAGTATATTTATAACACTTAGTAGATAATTAAGTAATAATTTAGCCTAATTTATTTTAGCTTAATTAAGCTATTTTTACTTATGTAAAGCTTAAGAGTAATCTTTTTACTTATAAAAGGTAGTAGACTAGAGAAACTTTAAGTTAGTATTTACTAAAAAACTAAAAATACTTAATAAAACTATAGACTAAAAGATTCTTAAAAGGCTTAAGTAAGTGTAGCATAAAAAAGTAAAACCTATAATGTACTTTACTAGCAAGCTGCTTACACACCTGAGTTGCTTACTTTTGCTAAGACCCTACTAAACTACTTTTTTTATACTAATGTATTTCTAATAACACTACTTAAATGCGCTAAAAAAAATGTTAGATATAGCTTACACTTTAAGCTTTTAAATAAGACATAAAACTTTTAAAGAAATGTGCTACAGCTATGTACAGAGTTTCTTAAAAAATAATAAATAACTATAGCACTAGATAATCTTTATAAGCTAATTCTTTAGCAAACTTATAAAAGCTAGGTAATAATAAAAAGTAGGTAATTATTAAGACTGTACTTAAGCTATAGGTGTAAGGATTTTCTTTTTAAATAGCATTTATAGCTAATATAGCTAATTCTTTACACGCTAAGCGTAACCTAGGCTATGTTAGCATAAACTAGCCTAGTATGTTTAGAAAGTGTTATCTAAAGCTTAAAGTAACATTTAAGTATAGTATAACTATAAAAGAGCTTTTTATAAAAGTCTTAGAGTAATTTAAAGTAGGTTTAGCCCTATAAAGAATATTAAAGCTAAGTATAGCATCTAAAATAATAACATGTACAACTTTAGTAAGACAGGCTTTATTATAAGCTAAATATTTATTAACTATACTTACGCTTAAAACTTTACTTTAAGCTTTAAATAATGCTTTATAAACATACTAGGCTAGTTTATGCTACTATAGCCTAGATTACGCTTAGCGCGCAAAGAATTAGCTATATTAGCTATAAATGCTATTTAAAAAGAAAATCCTTACACCTATAGCTTAAGTATAGTCTTAATAATTACTTACTTCTTATTATTACCTAGCCTTTATAGGTTAGCTATAAAATTAGCTTGTAAAAGTTGTTTAGTGCTATAGTTATTTATTATCTTTTAAAGGACTCTGTACATAGCTATAGCACATTTCTTTAAGAGTTTTATGTTTTATTTAAAAGCTTAAAGTGTAAGCTATATCTAACATTCTTTTAGCACATCTAAGTAGTGTTGTTAGAAATGCATTAGTGTAAGAAAAGTAGTTTAGTAGGGTCTTAGCAAAAGTAAGCAACTTAGGTGTGTAAGCAACTTGCCTGTAAAGTACGTTACTACTTAATAAAAGCTAAGTAATTTTAACTAAAGCTTTCTTTACTTTAAAAGCTATTAAAAAATTAGATACACTAGCTTTTTTAAAAAGTATTATTACTATTGTCTGTACATGCGTAAAGCTAAATTAAGTTGCCTGAAACAGTTAGCTATCTAACCTGTGCGTTAGGGGCTATGTGTACTTAAAAGTCCTCTTTCTTTATATAAAAAGAGAGGGCAGTAGTTAATAACAAGAAGATCTTTACCTACTTACCTTATTATAGGCTGTACGCTTAGCATACAGCTGTCTATCCACCTACCGCGTGCGTAGCCACGCAGAGAAGGGACCTACTACTAGATGCGTAGCTATTTAGAGGAGTAAGCTAACTAACACTAATTAGTCTATTAACTAGTAGACTTTTACTGCATGTGTAGCTACACAAAGAAGAGATCTTTCTAAGATAATAAATTAGTAAAGTGGCTTTAACTGCTAGTATAAAAGCTAGCCTGCCGCTGCAGTATCTATCTACCGCGTAAGTAGCCACACAGAGAAGGCACCTACTGCACTAGTAGCTGTTGTATGCCCCTAGAGTTAACCGCCTGTACAAGAGCTAGCTCACTAGCTGCAGTACCTATCTACTGCGTGCGTAGCCACGCAGAGGAGGCATCTACTGCGACTAGTAGCTGTTGTCTGCCCTTAAAGTTAACTGTAAGTATAAGAGCTAGCTAACTAGCCGCAGCACCTATCTACCGCGTGCGTAGCCACGCAGAGCAGGCATCTACTGCGACTAGTAGCTGTCGCACGCCCTAGAGCCAACCTGCTACCCTGTACAACAGCTTGCTCTTTAAGAGCCACTGTACAGTTAACTAGCACCCTCCCCCTGCCCCCCCTAAGAACGGCCGTACAAACACACAACCGGCACCACCTACCACCTACCCCCTCTAAACAACTGCTGTATAAACGCAACTAGCACCCTCTCCCCCCTCTAAACAACAGCTATATAAATAAGCAACTAGCAAACTCTTACCTTGTTATAGAATACTTATATAATAAACTAGTAGAGATAACTTACATGTCTAGAACAATACTATAAAAGGAGGTTAACTTTACTCTTCTAGTAGACTGTCTTAATATGTTAATAAATCTCTCTTAAGTATAATAAACTTCACATATAGTAGATACCTTTATTTTTATGTGTATAAAAGAGTATAGTCTATCTAACTTTATAAAAGACTTTAAAGGCTAGACATAACAGGATTTTAACAACTTATCTTATACGTTTAGGCAAGGGCTCTTTTGTGCTCTAGCTAAGCCCAGGATCTATCCTAGAAAGAAGATGCTGTATGTAGGCTAAAAAGCTAGCAAGTGTTGCAAACTAGCAGTACACTATAGGCTCTATACAAAGAAGAAAAGGAAAGAATATAAAAGAATAAAAAATAAGGTAAAGCAGGCATGTAACTTAACTTATAAAAGAAAAAGTTACTAGTGTCTATACATGCGTACAGCTAAATTAAGTTGTCTAAAATAGGTAGCTATCTAGCCTGTGCGTTAGAGGCTATGTGTACTTAAAAGCCCTCTTTCTTTGTACAAAAAGAGAGGGCAGTAGTTAATAACAAGAAATTCTTTGCCTGCTTACCCTAATACAGGCTGTAAGCTTAGCGTACAGCTGTCCATCCACCTACCGCGTGCGTAGCCACGCAGAGAAGGGACCCACTACCATATGCGTAGCCATCTAGAGGAGTGAGCCAACCGACAACTATACTTATTAATCTAGCGCTTTTAGTAAAACTAAGAATGCATGTAATAATAAACTTTAACACTTACCTACTCTTTATAAGTATGATTTTAGATAATAAAGGTGCTATGCACTAAGTAAATAGTATAAAGCTACTTATACTTAAGTTATTTAAAAAAGCTTAAAATTTACACCTAGTAAAAGTAGGCCTGTTATTATTTTTAATCTAGAAAATAGAAACTAGAAAGCTTATAAAAGTCTTAAAAAAAGTATTAAAAAAAGCATAGAAAATCTTATACTATAAAAAGTACGTATGTAAAAAGATTGTATGTTAATAGTATTTTAAAAGCTTATTTAAAAGAAATAAAACTATAGTATTTAAAACTATACTATATACTATATATAAGTATGCTAGAAAAGAATAAAGTACTTATAACACTTTACTAAAAGTGTAACTTTATATTTATTAAATATAATAAGTAGAAAAAAGGTTAATTTTATTCTTAAAATTTAATAAAATTTAAACTAAAAAGTAGATATAACCTATAGTCTTTAGTTAAAGATAATAGTTTTAAGTATATAGCTAAAATAGCATATTTATTAAATAAATAAAGAGAAGAAGGTGAACCCTTTTTGCGAGAGTAAAGCTTGGGCAGCGCCAAGGCGCTAGCACGCTCGCTTAGCCCTTGGCACGATTATATAACTAGCTGCGGAGCTTGACAAGCAAAACCGTCACGTAAGCTTTCTAAAAGAGTGTGTTATATTTCTAACACAGAAATCTTTTTTCTTTAAGCTATAACAGACTTTATAGCCTTTACTATAACACCTACTGCCTTTCACATAGCCTCTTACATGTTGCTATGGCCCTTACTGCCCTGCTGTTATAGATGTAAATACATACTCTACAGCAGAGTACAACGCTCTACAATTACTTCACTTCATCAGGATGTTACATAGCTGCATGCTTACATAACCTCTATTTGCAACACTGACCCCTCAACGGTGTGAATATTACTCCGAAGCTGAACGTAGTAGACATAGAGGGTTTCCTTTATAATATTTCCTATGGATAATAGAAATAGGTTGCTGATTTTAACACCCTCATGCCATGTGTGTCGACAAGAAATGGGCACGTTGCCAGCTATAATTTTACGTGTTCACACCACTAGTTTCGTACAAGCTCGTAAACCTTGACTCCTGGCTTAGTAACGTCCCCGGCGTATCAAACTCCACTAGGCGGCCATTATCGAGTAACGCAACCTTATCATACCGAGTGATATGGGTAAGACGGTGCATGACCGCAAGCACGGTACAGTCTTTGAAAGTCGTGTCAATGATATCTTGCATAATCGCTTCCGTCTCGCCATCAACACTGTCGGCGCGTTAGATTCCGCGGTCTACATTCCTAGCTAACGGCTTACCTGCTAGTGGCCTCGTCGAGTATCAAGACCTTGCTTTTTCTTACCATGGCACGTGCAAGACATAGTAGCTGTTTTTGGCCAGCTGACCACATCGCCGTGTCTATCTCTTTGCTCAAGCCGCCCTGCTCGGATATGATTACCCAAAGCCGAACGCGCTCTAGAGCGCGGATTATATCCTCATCCTCAGCTTTCCCGAAAGGGTCGATGTTGAAACGGATCGTTCCGGGCATGAGAAATGGTTCCTGGGGTACTACATTGAAGTGAGTGCGAACGTCGGTGCACAGCATTGTGGAGACGTCGACACCATCAACTATGATTTGCCCCCCTCGCGTCTCAATCATTTGAATTAGTGCTAGAATGGTAGACTATGTACCATGTTAGCGCTCTATTGTTTGGCGGATGAGTCGCAGAAATTTATGCCTACCGTTTTGCCGCTGCCAGACCGTCCACACAGTGCAACATGCTCCGACGGCCTGACAGATAACGTAATGCCTTTAATTACTGGTTCAGCACCGGAAGAGTGAGCAGCGATCAAGTCCTTGAATTCGACGTTGCCTTGTGACGGCCAGTCCTTTGCTGCCCTAGTCTCGCGGTTGCTTTTCTCTTCCGACTCGGTTTCGGCGACGAATCGCTTGACGCGCGCCACTGCGCCAATGCTGGACTCCATCATTGTCCATGCTTTGATCATTCTCATAAGAACAGAACTAAATGTCATGACCGAGACTAGCGAAACACCAATGTTACCAGCGCTAAATTTATGCTTCCATATTATGACAACAGTAACTAATACAGCTGCAATGATGGTTACAATCATGTCTAGCATGAAACCAAGCCAGCTCTGAATGCAGTACTGTAGATAAGCCGGCCGTTGCGATTGGTCGATTAACTTGTGGTTGCGTTCCTGGTATTGTGACTGCCACCCATAGGCGCGAATGGCCGCTGCACCGTCAACGGACTCGATGAAGTGTGTGTATAGCGGGGCCTTGGCCTCGATTTCAAGGAGACGGACCTGTCTCGAGGTCTGCAAGTAGAATGCCTGTAGCAAGTAGAGAAGCACGACGACGAACGGCGCCATCGTAGCTAAGTACCGGGAGAAAACGATAAGAATGATTGCCTTGGTTACAGCGAAGAAGGCGGCTAAATGTACTGTTAGTCCCCGACATTAAATCGAGATGGATACTTAAAGGAGTTACTTACTCGAGATGTAATTGATCATGATGAGAGGGAGTTGCATGTCGATGAGTTCCATGTCTTGGCTGCTCATGGAATATGCATTAGCGTACGTCTGCTTAGCATATAGGGAGCTATACGCAGACAGTCGCGCAGGGTCGAGAATGGTTCATGTCTCATGCTTTCACTGGCCTAGGAGCATGTTTACCGGGAATGCAAAGGAATTAAAGCTTACCTAAACCTGTTCGTCAAAGTACCCGTATCCGTAGTAGTGAAAAATCGGAGTGGGGCCCTGATGCAATCAGCACAGCAACACTTGTATGAGACTGTAAATACCTTATCGTGCTTATGAGTAGATCAGAGTGCAGACGAGAGGCCGAGCTAGATATTATGTTGACAATACCGATCCTTAGAATGATTAGTGATCCGAACAGAGGAACATATAAGGGTACTTTACCAGCAAGATATGGCGATGGCTACAACTCCGAAAAGACTGAAAAGGGCATACACGCCCAAGTACATACCGACATCCTTATTGGCATGGTCTTCATTGGCTTCCGACCACCATTTCAGCCACACCGCTATTGTTTGAGAATGTTAGCTATTTCAAATATTTGGATTCGTGTTGGTGCACGTACTTGCAAACTCGGTGCAGAAGATCCAGATAGCCATGCTAATAAGAAACATGGCGACAACCCAGCGGCCGGAACTGGAGAAGTAGTAACTATAAACTGACCAATCGCCGCTTTTACGCCTGGTGTCGGGTATATCGTTGGTATCATCTGGCGTGGCTGGCGCCGAAATGAAAGACTCTGCGAGCGTACTCTCAACCCGGGAGATTCCGGTATTCTCAGCATGTCCCTCGCTCGCTTCCTCATCCCTCAAAACAAGGCCAAGCTTAGTCATATATCCTTCATTAGCGAGCAATGCTTCCGGACTTCCTGTCTGGGCTATTCTGCCGTCTTCAAGAGCGACAATAGTATCGGCGAGACTCATAAGTTTAGCTATGTAACTGGTCAGCACGCCAAGCTAAACCTTCGCGTGGGTACAAAGACCTACGGCTATGGGTAACCAAAATGACTGTCAAACCGTGTTTGCGGAACAGACCATCCGTTCCCAGTAGGCGCTGCGAAACAATATCTACAGTGTGAGCATCCATCCCACTGAAGATATCGTCAAGCAGAACAGTATCCTTGCGCGAATAAACCGCACGCGCAAGAGCCTATAAGAGATACGTATCAGTTGATCTATTCGTAGATACTTTCGCCAAGAATTCTTACAATCCTTTGTATTTGTCCGCCGCTAAGGTTTGAGCCTTTGCTGCCAACGACGGTTTTGTCTCCCCTTTCTAGGACCTGCAGATCGACATCAAGTTGACATACCCCAACAACCGTTTTGTACCAGGTTGAGTCGTATTGCGTTACACCAATAATATTGCTCTGAATTGTACCATGCTCCAGCCATGGTTGCTGGGCACAGTATGCGACGGAAGATACACGGCTCAGCGCAGGGCCGCGACTACACACTGTTTCGCCTAGTATGCTCTTCATCAGCATAGTTTTGCCGCTACCGACGCGCCCAACACAGACAGTGACGCTTCCTCTTTGAATTTTCAAGTTGATTTCTTTAAGAAAGGGAGTCTTCGATTTCTTCCACGCAAAACTGCTGTCCCTTAGGAAAACGATGTGCTTTTCATGATTATCGTCCCGAGCGGGAAGCGCCTGGGAGAGGGGATGAAGACTGATAGACGAGTTGGCAAGATTGCTGAATTTGGTAGAGCCATTGTGCAAGGGCCTATCGTTGGCGTAGTTGGCATACTCCTGGATTCGCTCGAAGCTGCCAACGCATTGTAGCAACTGCGGCATAAGCTGAACAAGTTGAATGACCGGGGTCGTGAGCAGATTTATTAGAGCAATTGCGGTGAACGCCTGGGCGGTCAAAATCGATCCGTTTTTCCAATAGAGTGATATAATGACTGTGACACCAAAGGTGACCAGTGGCGATATGTTTTGCGGACACTCTGCTACAAGGATTTAGCAAATATCGATAGGGCTAATCCTGAGGGAAGGGTATCGTACATAGTAGGACGTTCCAAACAAGCAACTTGCGGTAGATCTTGGATGTCTGTATCTCAACTTCTCGGAATTTGTGAATCATGTTGGATACTATAGTTGGTAGTCCTAGCATTTTCACACCCTTCATATCATCAAGTACGCTAGTGGTAATGCGAAGTCGCGCCTGGACCCTTTCAATCCAGGCGACCTGCGCTTTCTTGGCGGAACGAGACACTGGCACATTAATAGAAATGGAGACTAGATGCTTTAATCAGCCAACATAGACTAGATCCAAGAATGATATACGTACTGAGAATGACGACCACCGGTGCTAAACAGGCTAAGAAGACCTGTTGTTCCAATAGCCAGATAGCCACCCCAATTTCGATGACGGATGCCCATAGCTCGTGGATTTGGAGAAAATTGAAGCCGATGCGCTCAATATCTGTTCCCATCAAGGCGATAGCGGTGGTTTCGCCAAGGTCAGCTGTCCTTGCTTTCATTGTCTCCTGGTAGACGAGTCCAATGAGTCCACCCTTGACCCGCGCAACAAATCGCGCCGACTGATACGATGTTAAGGCTGTCGAGCACTTCATAGCAGTCAGCACTTCATCTCCGTTGTATCAACGTCAATTAGAGCATACAGCAACACCGAGATACACTAGAACCCATGCCCCTATCAATCCTCGACCAAAGTGGGTATCGGCCGTGACGTCTCCCACATATGAGACTGTAGTATTAATCAAAAGCGGCTGAGCAAAGTAGAAGACGGACTTGCACAGTCGTGGAGGGATAGCAGTCAGGAACGGGAACAAATTGGCGTGGAAGCATGCTTTAATAAGGCTGTGGCGGGCTTGGTGATCATCTGTGCGTGATTAATTAGCTCAATACTTAGTTATATCATGGGTACTTCCATCTTGCCCAAGCGGTAACAAGTTTTTGGCGTAGCAAATTGCTCTCAAGTCGAGTGTCAAGAGGAGGTAAATCATTCTGAGATATGACCCTTGAGTAACCAGCACGGAAGGTAGCGGTCAGCCAAGTAAAAGCAGTTCGGGTCCAAAGCCCACTATATTCTTCCGGTGCACCGAACCTCTTTTCCTCTGCAATGCTTGACTTCTTCTGCACTGACTCGAGTAGTAGCGCTACGGCTGTCAAGATCAATACCACAGTCATTGTAGCGGCTTCTCCGACAGCACTTTTGATCGCCCATAGCGTTCGAGTTTTGGGGATATCGAGAATGGCTATTGCGGAAAGATACAAGATGACCAAAGTTGAGGACCGGAGTGAGCGTTGGTGGACAATATAAGTAAGCCACGCTGCGCTAAAGATTCCGAAAATAGCCAGCGTGTCCGCGGCTAATGATGCGCTTGTCTGAGCAGCAGTTTTCTGTGACCTCAGGATGAGGAATGCTAGCTGCGTTATGAGCAAGCCAGCCAAAGTCGCCTGATCAAGTGTTAGTAGGGGCACCGCTACGCCGAAGGATCCAGAAACGGAACCTACCAGCTTTCCGAATAGCAACTTCGATCTAACCGAGCAAACAGCGCGCGACTTCACTAGAACCCCGACATGGAACGGTAGTAGTAGGAAGAAAACCGCAGTCGGGACACAAGAAAAAAAGACATCTTCAAACAGGATGGTGAAGTCGAAAGTACGACAAGCGGGGTTCACTCTTGGACCGAAGGCTCGGTCACTTCTGGACGGGCAGGTTGACGGCGCCATCGTACCTTGCGTAGGAAGCCTTGGCCTGAATGAACAGAGGTGGATGAGGGGACTGAGCGGGAACAACAATTCCGGTCTGAGTATACACTTGGGGCGGATTATATCATCAATTAGGCCCGAGGGAGGGTGGTTCACGCTTTCGGCCGAACCCTGTTAGGGGCCGTGCTATCTTGGACCAATCATAGATCTATCGACACCACTTTCAAACGCTTGGGCCACCCGCGGTCGGATGTGATTGTGGCCGTAGCGGGCACGTCGCGGTGAGGAAGAAGATGTACTCGCCCAACGCGCTAAGCAGAGTACGGCGGACTGTTAGCTAGTGAAGGGAAAAAACTAATCGCTAATTGCTTAGGAGCATTTTAGGTATAAAACACTATAGTATTTTACTAGGCAAAACATACTATAACACATTTATATAATGTTTTTTAAAGATCTAAGGAGTAAAGGGTTATTTTATGTAACTGTATTACAACTGCTCTTTATAGCAACTGCCTTTACTACAGCGTTGTACAATAATTATAGATACTCACCGCCACCACCACTCTTCCACATCCACCACTACTACAGCAGTAGCAGCAACAACAACAGCAACAACAGCAACAACAGCAGCAACAGCAACAGCAGCAGCAGCAGCAGCAACAACAACAATAACAACAATAATAACAACAATAATAATAACAATAATGTAGGCATTAAGCCTATAGTATTTTAATTACTTTTATTATATAAAGCTAACACTTAAAATAGGGCTCTTATTCTTTATAATGCTACTGTTACTGCTGCTAACTAAGCTAGTGCTAATGTTAATCCTGTCCTATATATAGGACAGCAGCAGCTAGCCCTACTAGCTTATAGTCTATAGGCCTGTGCATTACTAGCCTTTTTAGGGCAGGATGTAGAGTTTATATATAGTAGTATATTTTTTTATTAAATAGCTTTACACAAGCCTTTATATATTAACACTATCTTTATATAATCTTATAAAAGGGCAGTAGACAACCTGTGCAGCGCATGCTATAGCGCTGTCTTAGGCCCACAACTGTTCCTAGAGTGCTGCTGCGCTAAGGGGCACTTTAGCAGAGTATACAGTAATTGCAAATAGCGTAACTATGCTAGTTGCTACTTTATAAAAAAAAAGTAATAATAAGCTAGCTAGTAGACCTCTACATTTAAGCTACAACCTAAAGATTAGTAGTGCTAGTAATAGTTTATAGTAGTAGCTTATTTTTATTAAAAATAAACTTACTAAGGCTTTAGCTAATAATGTAATAGTTTTAGCTTAAAGTATATATAATATTTTTTTTAAAAGTAGTAAAGCGCCTTAGCTATAAAAGTTATCTATAGCACTTAGCTATATAAAGATGTCTATAGCACTTAGTTAAGGCCTATACCTCTGCGCAGTAACTAGAATAAGTAGCTGTTAAATAGTAAAACTTAACTAAGCTAGTAAATAAAAAAAATAAATTAAAGTATTATATAAAACATACTACTTCTTAATACTATAAAGCTAATAAAGCACTTAAGAATTAATATTAGATAGCTAAGACAGTGCTTACTTATAATTATATAAAAGTATTTTTTTATTCTTTTTATTTTTAATAAAGCTTAATTTTTACTTAACTTTTTTTTTTACTAGCTTTTTCTTCTTCTTAACCTTAGTCTACTTAGTAGGGGGTTTATATAAAAAGATCTTATTCTAAGCTACTATAGTTGCCTTATATACTAGGTATAAAGTTATGCTTTAGTTACTGTTCTTAAAGTATCTACTTTTTAATAAGTCTTTAATTATATAATAATCCTTAGCACTTTTTAAAAAATATGTAACATAATCTTTACTAACATCTATAATAAGATATAGTTTAGAATAGCCTTTAGTAATTAAAAAATTAAATTATATAAGCTTTTTAAAAAGGCTGTTCTTAATAAACTTAGTATAGCTTATAAAAGGCATGTTTTAAAGCTATATCTAGGTCTAATCTACTATGTATTAGATATTAGCTAATATATAAGAGAGTATTATACATAGCTGTTTAATACTATTAATTTACTTACACTTATTAATTACTTTATATTATATAAAGTAGAGGATTACAAGAATAGTGTCAGATACGCGCACCTACTGTTAAGACAGGAGGAACGCTTAACAAAAGCTGCTACATAGTACAAGCAATAAGCTTAGACAGTATGTTGCTGCAAATTGCAGCAAATTGCAGCATTTTGCAAGCTAGTCGCGCATAGGGCAAGTGCGCGAGGGACTTAGATCAGCAAAACAAAAAGCTAAGCAACACAAGTAGAGCAGAAAAGGGATTAATAAATTAATACAATTAATTAATCATCCTATACATTATATCTAAACCTATTATTTATCTTAGAAAGCCTAGAAACAGTGCTTTAATCTAACAAATAGAGAGCTTAGCTATTATATAGCCTTAAATAAGAAGTAAAGATGTACACTAGATTAACTACTAACATGCTAATTCTACTAGTGTACATAAAGTAGCTTATATAGAAAAGATAAACATTCTTTTTTTTATACTGTTAAGTATATTCTTTAGACAGATTATCTCTTTCTTGTCTTATATAATTTATGTAGGTGTAAGAGGTTAAATTTAAATGCTATAGTTTAAATAAAACTTATATTTAGTAGACTACTTACTATAAAACTATTTTATAGTAGAATAAAACTTATTTTAGGCACTTATAGTAATAATAGATTATACATTATATAAGAGAAAAAACTAAAGAAAAAACTAAAAAAAAAACTATAAAAAATTTAAACTTACTAGTTATAAAAAAAATAAAAGCTTAGATACTACATTTATGCAAATCTACTAAGCTAGATTAGAATTAATAGGCATTTTTTTACTAAAGTTAGTTTTAAGATTAACATTTTAAACTATGTCTTAATTACTTTAGTTAAATTAGATACTTTTATATTAAGTATATTATATAAAACCTTACTTGCTAATTCTACACTTTAATAAGTAACTTAAGTAGAAACAGTATAGGCTAAAGACTATTCTAGATATAGTATTATACTTTTGCTTAAAGCTAAAGATAAACATTTAGATATAGTGTTATATAATTCTAAAAGTTAGAGTAAGCTGCAGCTACGCTGTTAAATCTAAGTAAATCTAGTACTCTATTACACTACTAAAGTGTATCCTGTAGAAGGTAGGCATTTATATTCTAACTATTAACTTTTCTTTTAAATATATAAAGCTAATTAGCATTAAATAAAAGAGCCTAGTTCTAGACATAAGCTTTAAAATAGTAATAAAGCATAAAAAGCTTTTTAACTATACTGTTTAAACAGTTCTTTTACCTTTAAATTAAATATGTGTTTTATAGTTATACAAAGCTATATAGTTCCTTATAAAGTATAAAAATATATATAGTATAAATAGTAAGCTAATTAGCTAAGCTATTTTTTAAAAAGAAGCTTTAGGTTTAAAGGTAGTAAAAGTAATCTTACTTAAAGTAAAATAAAATAATAAGTATTATATAAAATACTAACTTACTAATAAAAAAAAAAGCTTTTTAAAAGTTACTACTACTAAGCTTTAATCTACTAATTTAATATACTTATACTATAAAGGTAGCACTAATTAAATAAAAGCTTAGGCTTTATAAACTTTTAAAGCTAGTATTAAGCATTTACTAGTATAACTATCTCTATTTTTTAATTAGATTATATAAAATGTAGTTACTACTTTGTTTTTTAAGTGTCTTAAAAAACTAGTAAAGGCAGCTAATAGCAGTGCAGGTAGAGATTCTAACATAAATCTATATAATGTATTGTAAGTACGCGTTAATACATGCATAGATCTCTATGCTGTATAGTTTTAGCTTACTAGAGCTATTAATAGACTAGATAAAGTTTAGGCTAAAAATAATATACTCCTTATAGTGTTACTGCAGGTTGCGCTTGCAGCGCTCTACTGCCTTATAGTTTATTATATAATAGATGTAAAATAACTAGTTATATATAATAATATAGCTATATTAAAAAAAGTGTGTATAAAGATACTTTTACTTATACTTATTAATAACACTTTTTTTTAGCTTTTAACTAATAAGTTATTAAATAAGCTTATCTACTTACTAGCTTTATTTAACACTTTACACTTTTTTATATAATTTAAGCTTAAATTAAAGTTATATAAGTATATATTTTTTAATTTAAAAGCCTTTATTATATAGTATATAAAGTATATTTAAATCTTTACGCTTAACTTTAAAAAACAGCACCTAGATTTAATTCTTAACTTTATTTTTAACTTTAGTAAAAAAGTGTTACTTTACATTTTATATTTAAAACTGCTGCTTAATTATATAAGAAGTAACACAGACTTAAAACTTTTTAAAAAGGTAAGTAGCTATTTATGTGTATGTAACACCTTTATAGAAAAGCTTAAGTAGATAGAGTTAGTACAGTTTAAGGTTAATCTTAGAACGTCCTCTTACGTCGCCACTATATTAGTAAGCACTTATATAATGTAACTATTTAAAAGACGCTTACTAGGCATTATAAAATTAACATGTATAAACATGTATAAAATAATTATAAAGTTATAAGTAGCTAAAGGCTATAATTATGTACAGGGTAAAGAATTTTTAAATTAGCAATTAGTTTTTTCCCTTCACCAGCTAACAGTCTGCTGTAGCAGAGCTTGGCCCTGCGCAGCTTAACTATAATCCTCACTTCAACGCGACTTTTCGCTAGCATCTTTCCTAACATCTACTTTTTGTCCACAACAACTCTATACCGCACTATAGATTGTACGCGGAGATTAAAAAGCATATTAAGCTTGCTATTTTGCAAATCTCTTATAATAAAAAACTAACAGTTGCTGCACAAGCGCGTGAATTTAATGTACTGTACTAGCGCCTTCTTGCACGTGTTAACAGAGTTAGATTAAAGCAGGATTATAAGAGCAGCAGTTACAAGCTTAACAACATCTAACAACTAGCTCTTAAAGCCTATATACAGCGCTGTGATTATATTAGATGCCTTGCTTTTATTCTTTAGCTTAAAAACACAGCTTAAAAG